GAAAGCATTAAATAACTTATATAACATTATAAAATTTTATACAACACTCAATAGATTATAAATAAACGTAAATATTGTATAAGATTTACTGTATTTGCATTAAATGATAACTACAGTAGTGAACAAATATCAAGCAATCAACTAAATTGTATGTAAAGACAACACAATTGTCTCAAATGTTCCCATTTTGCTGTTCTCATCCCATTAAGTAATGTGTGAGAAAAAATCTATTCAAATATCTTAAGTAAACTATATTTATATGTAGTAAGGATTTTAACATAATATTCATTTTAACAATTTTCAATAAAGATTATTACAGTATTTTAAAAACATTATTAGTAATAAATAAAATTATCGAGATATTGAAAGTTGTGTTTTTAAATATATATTATAAATAAAATCAATAAATTTATATTATAATTCATTTATACTGATTGTAAATCTCATTTTGTGATACAACTTACAAGTTAATTATGATTTTTAACTTATATGCTATTAATTAAATTACCAACTTTTCATACACTTATTCAAATATTGCACCTATTTTTAATTTATAAAATGATAAATTAAAATCTATTTTAGCAGATGATCAATGCTTATTATAAACATGATTTTACGTATTTTGATTTAATATTTATTTAGTTTTATAATGTCTAATTTAAATATTGTTATAATAATTTAAATATTGTTATAATAATTTAAATATTGTTATAATAATTTAAATATTGTTATAATAATTTAAATATTGTTATAATAATTTAAATATTGTTATAATAATTTAAATATTGTTATAATAATTTAAATATTGTTATAATAATTTAAATATTGTTATAATAATTTAAATATTGTTATAATAATTTAAATATTGTTATAATAATATAAAACACATAAATACTAAATTATCAATAAATTTCAATTTACTACATCAATACATTTTGTACAAACTCATTGATTTCACTTAATTTATACAAATAAACATTTAATAGATATAATAGTGATTATAATAATTATAATAGTGGCGATTGAAGGATGAATTACCAATAAATTTACTGTTAATGATATAATAATCTTTAGCTTTGGCAGCGCTAATAGAGACTTAAGTCTAAATAAAGTATTGTACTGTATATACATAATGTTTATTACTACAGTAATACGTTTATATACGTTAATACATTACATTTATTTCTCATATAAATTATAAAAATAAATATTGTAATTAGTATAACTTTTATAATTTTAAATAAATATTTTTAAGAAATGCGAGTATTTATAATAAATAAAAATATACATATAATAAAAAGATATTGAATTTTTGATTGATTTAAATGCTAAGTAATATTACAAATTATGTTATGCTAATTATAATTGAATAAACTATAACAAGTAATAAATTTTTGTTAATTATTTTATTATTTAATAACTTTTTGTAATTTTATACTTATTATCATAAAAAATAATTAATAAAATTTTCAGTAAGGTACCAATATAATTTATAATATATTATCAGATAATAAAATTATTGAACATTTAATGGCTAATAGCTATACTGTAATAATAATTATAGAAAAATTGTGTATTATATCTAAAATTCAAATTCAATTATATGACTGGGATTTATACCATATTATAATCTATGATTATTTTAGTATAAATCTAATAAATAACTTTAATATTTTTATAAGTTTTTAAATTTAATTATTCAAAACATTTATAACCTAAAATGTATTAATATTAATTATAAGACTTCATTTGATAATTTTGACTTTTTTAGATAATTTTGAAAGACTTTATTTAAAACAGTATATTAACTGTTTTATAGTAACATTTGATAAGTTATTTCATACTATAACATAAAAATTGTAGTCTCACTTGAAGTAAGTGAAGATTATGTGATCCGTCCATTGATGATAACGATTAGTAGTATAATAATAGTGTGTAATAATGTTGATGAAATAACTATAATATTATTGTTTAATATTTGTTATAACAAATCAATTGATTGTGAGAAATAACTGTTTACATTAAGTTTTCAAACAATTGATTCAACAAATTATTTTGTTTGCAATTTTTATAAGTCTTAAGTGAATATAAATTCATTCAAAAGTAAGGAAGCATTGGTAGTAGTATTGAGGGTACGGGTCATATAGTGGTAGGTTATGATAGTTATAGAGAATCAACATATAATTTATACATGTCTTAGACTAACCATTTTTAACCAACTAATGAAAATCAAGTAAACATTAATTCTGCAATTTCTTTGCTTTATATTATTTGTCATGACTTTTGTTGTTGACGAGTGTGTGAAATGTTTTGTTCAAATCATTGTTCATAATGCAAGTGATGTGTAGTCAGCGGCGGTCCAAATGCCAGAGCAAAAGCCAACAGCGCTAACAAACTAAAGACCAACCAATGATTAGACCAACGAGTTGTGACTTCTTGTGATGCGTTCGTTAAACTAATGTTTAGTCGTATAGGCGTTGAGTTTGTTGTCATCTTATATAACAATTGTTACACCAGTTTGTAATCCCGAGGGAAAAATGTAATGAATATTAAAAATCATTACATTTATTCAAGTGATTCATTCAATTATTACAAAACATTATTACCTCTAATACACACATACACATACACATACACATACACATACACATACACATACACATACACATACACATACACATACACATACACATACACATACACATACACATACACATACACATACACATACACATACACATACACATACACATACACATACACATACACATACACATACACATACACATACACATACACATACACATACACATACACATACACATACACATACACATACACATACACATACACATACACATACACATACACATACACATACACATACACATACACATACACATACACATACACATACACATACACATACACATACACATACACATACACATACACATACACATACACATACACATACACATACACATACACATACACATACACATACACATACACATACACATACACATACACATACACATACACATACACATACACATACACATACACATACACATACACATACACATACACATACACATACACATACACATTTTTGCTGATAAAATAAAGATATACTAATACTTTCTTTTTTAAATGAATCAAATATTGTTATAATAATGACTATACAGTATATACAATTTATACCGGTATATCAAATGTATATACAATATAACGTACAAAGTATTGATTTAATTTGTAATATGATTTGATTGTATGTGAAAATTGATGTTCCAGTCATGACATATGTTTTGATGACAATCAAAAGGTTTCTCTAATTTAAATGATTTTTTTGAAATAATATTTAAAAAAACACTAACTTATTAAAGACATATAAAACATAACAACATTTGCAAATATAAATATATATAAAGCTATATAATAGTTATAAAATATATTGTTAATGTATAATGTTTAATGTTTTTTTTTGTTTAAGTATTATTTATTATTTTAAAATTACGAATTTAATGTATTTAATTAAATAAGGGAAATGTATGGGAATTATTGTAATAATGCAAAATATAGTGTTTTCAAAATTATTTTCAACTTAATTCGCTAATGTTTCAGCATTTTATAAAATTATATATATTAATTGTTATAATTAAAGTTTTATTTTATTATTTAATGATTATAATAATATAATCAAATTATTTATAATTAGCCAAAACATAAAACACATTCATTGAGTATAAGAGAAGTATTGTATGAACTTTTCAACTAATGTCACAAACAAATTAAAAACAGTAAAATATTTATTATTTTATAAAAATATAAATAGTTTACATTTATAACATCAATTAGTACTGTACTATATCTTAAGTTATACTGCATAAAGTATATGTAAAACTTACATCAAAAAACTTATTAAACAATATCTTTTAGATCCAAATGTACTTATATTACTATACATTATATGATATATTAATATTAATAATATTAATAAAGCAATCATTTTAAGGCATATATTTGTTTCACTGGTGAAAATGTTTTGACTATATTTTTTAAATGAAATAAAATCCAAACGATAGACATCTAATGACTTAATTATTTCAATCATTTTTCTCACTGACTGTTGTTTTGCCAAATCTTTATTTCATTTATACAAACTATTAATATTAAAACTTTTGATTATCAATCAATAAAGTCATTTACGGGACAATTTTACTTTTGTAATCAATTCACTTACAATTGATTTTATTGCTTCAAATAAAATAAAAATTTAGTTTATGTGAATTTTAATTTTAAGAGTAATTAGTTTATTGTGTAATTAATTATGTTATATATAATTAATATAAATTTATATAGTTCAACTTAAACACATGTTAAATAAATTATCATAAAGTGTCAATAACTTGACGGGAATTACATGTCTAATAATAAAAACATATACTGTATATGTCATACAAAAATATATAAAACATTTTAAATTTGCATATTATTGTAAATTTTCTCAACATTAAAATTGTTTAAAACAATTTATGCATTTTCAAAAAATAAATATACTGTATAATAATACTACATTATGATTGTTATTATACAGTATATTAATATAAAAATGTTATACATTGTATAAATACTTTAATATACAATACTATAACAATTTAACAAAGTTTAATTACAATTAAAACTAATTTAATAATGTTTCCAATTATATAACAAGTTAGCATAAAATAAATTATAATTTATTAAAATTAACCTGTTGCTTTAACTAAAGTTTATTATATATACTAAATGAAAATTGTAATATGTTATAAAAAATTTAAATAAATTATAATTAAATTAAATTAGTTTTAATCGGTTTATTACTAACTAATGTCTTGTTTTGTCTAATAGTGTATTATATTATTAATACTATTAATTGATAATAATTAATACCCGAACCAAATGTCCATAAATGATGTAACAATAGGGACAAAGACAACCTATAGTTTGACATTTAGAGTTAGATAACAATTGATGACATAATTGATGTACGAATTATAGTGACAACACATGTGCGCTAAAAATGACTGCAAATTACATTCAAATTAAATGTAAATATAATTGATTTTAATTGGTTTTAATGATATGATTATATAAATAGTTTATATTTTAATGATATTAATAATGATTTTATGATTGAGTTATATTAATATTGTTGTCTACTTTCAGGTGCGGCCAACAGTACACTACAAGACTTCAAGCTATGTGACAGTGCGGGCGCCTATACCTATCACGACTCAAATGCGTGGACAACAAACACTTGCAATCGATTCATATACTGGAAGACCAGTAATGACATCCTTGAGCTCACAGAGCTCTCTATGGATGTCAACCTCACGGGAAACCAACTAAAACTACACTTCCAGAAGAGCCCTGTTCTCGAGGGGGTCAGCATTCATGAGACGATTGATAAGGTATACGTATTGGTGGCCACCGTGTCATCAGTTCACCGCTTCATCTTCAATCATCCCCGCAAACTGGGATCTATTGCACCGGTAGGTTAAACAACATTCAATTATGTCTTTATTGAATAATATTGACGACCAAAGTCTTAGTATTTATTGATTGATTGTTTTGTTAGATCTAATAACCAATAATATCATATAATATTATATATGATATTGTTTTGCATTTCTGAAGCCGATGTAAAGTCCATAGATATGACAATACATTACTCCCTGTCCTAAACCCCAACAAACATTATTTTCTATGAGAAAGACTTGTTTTTCAAGTGCTATAAATGTTCCCATAATTAAGATGCCATTAGTTGTCAATGCCTTAAATTATAATAGATATTGTGGTTAATATTTGTAATGATTATTATTATTATATATTTATTATTTATAACATATTTTATATCAAACGACAGCAATAATAAAAAGTTTTTAAGTCATTGAAACCTTTTTGAACAAACATATAGACATCAATAGAAAAGAGTTCTTGAATTGATTTTATTGAATTTTTTCAATTGTATTATATCTAGGGTTCGGACAAATTTACTCTCGTTTTATTTTCCATAAGTTCCCTATGTTTCCTGTGAATTCCCAGGGAATCTATTTCCTTGTGCTACCACCTATTGAACATTAGACAAATTTTGTTACAAGATTTGAATTACATTCATTAAACAGTATATAATATCAGTAAATTCATTGAATTAAAATTTATTTTTAAATATTACAATTAAATTTTTTTGCAAAAAAAATAATTTTTGATATTATTAATTTTAGAAATTTAAAATATATTTTTCTTTCTAACGGGCTAGGGAGGGAAATTAAAATATTTTCCGGGAAAATTGGAAGGATTTTATTAGGGAACTTCCCTTCCTGGGAAAGTTGCCAGAACTCTAATTATATCTGACGAAACATATCACTCATATTGAATGCAATAATAGAAATATAAATTACAGTCACCACAGACTTCCTCATGAAATTCATTTTATATTATGATTTCTAACAAAAGTTAATATTTAAACTTTTACTTAAATAAAAAAATAATTTTTTGAATAAAAGGTTATTTTGCACATAATTTACTAATCATGAGAATTATCCAAACAGACTACCGGCAGTTCCCCTCAAAGTTTAATAACATCAATGACTGGTATAGAGTTATCCCGAGTCTCTATCTTTTATAACGCCTATACAATGAATTTGGACGATCCGAGCAATTGTAGTGTTTTATCAACTTATGGGTCATCAATGGGTTTACCTATACCTACCACTTCTTGCTCTTGGCTTACACCACAAAAAGAGGCAGTTTTTGTAATCGCTAATAATATGGGATCATTATTGGTGGTCCGTTTAGGTGCACCAGAAGATGCAGGTAATTGATTATTAAATTTTATTTATTTGTTTTTTAATGAAGACATGACATTATCAGTGATAATGAATTTGCTGTGAATGACTCAACAGATATAGTATTGTATGAATTGTATAGCTATTCGGTTCGGTTATTATTGTTGAGAAAATTTCTTAACATTTTTCTATGATTCCCATCAAATGATTCACATTTTTGGCGCATATTTTGTCATTTTATAGAAAAAAATATGTAATAAAAAATTGTTTCAATTTTAATTAACTTTTAGTTTTAAAATTTAATGAATCAATTTTGGCATATTATCAGCCATTATATTGAAATATAAAAATATAAATAAATAAAATACTGTTAATTAAAAACTAAAGATTTATTATAATATACAATAAAATTATTTGATTAAAATAATGCATTTATATATATATAAACTAAAATAATTGTTGAGTTATTAAAGTTATATGATTTGCATATTTTACTCAAAAACAGGAAAAGTAATTAGTTATGAGTTAAAGCAGACAACAATTATAGGACGTCTTTGGAGTGGAATCGTACCATCGATTATGAAGTATTGTACTCTTTGTTTATAATTTTTAATAAATAATGATTGTCTGTTTGATTGACTTTAATATTAATTAGAAGTACTCAAGAAGGCGAAGAAGCAGCTATTAGTTTGGTTTGGCATTCAATACATAACGATAACTTGATATTTGCATTGTGTAGAGATTTAAAGATAAAGATGTGGTCATATAAACGACAAGAATGCTTACTATCTCATCCATTAGTACCGCAAAGTCAGACATTACATAAATTGTATTCAAATATGAGTGGTATGTATTATATAATAAATTGCATTTTTTTATTTGTATTACCTATTATTCCAGTTGAATGTCTTGTATTTCTATAATTATAAATTTAATTATCACAAAATGTAAAATTTCTAAAAACTTTTTGAGGAAATTATAGTAATTCATTATACATTGAATATGACATTAATATGATATTATAGTGCGACGGCCTATCATTTTAAAGAAATGGATCTCAAGAGACAATTCGACACTATATTTGGCGGCTTTTATAGCAATTGGCGAACAAAGACAGTTTGCTTTGTTTGAACCCATACTTGAAGACAATCAGTATTGTCTTCGATCATTGGCTGTAATCAATGCACCTGAAGTTGATTTAATTGATTTTTGTATTATCAATAACCAAATTTGGTCGCTTTGGATCAATGCAAACAATGTCTCCAAACTCTTGTATTGTCCAATAGATAAGTAAGTGTTTTCCCTTTTTTTCTTAGTGTTGAGATTTGATTCATAAAACAGTTATAATTAATATATTGGAAACTGAGTTAAGACGACATACTTTGGTATAAAAGAAGTATTTAATCGGAATTATGTTTAACACAGTTATTCTTCGTGGGACTGGAGATCACTTGCCTTACACTCACAGTTCACACATAAGATTAACATTAACTCAATTCTTGTGGATCCAAGAGAGCTATACATTCAAGACATTTTCATGAGTGGGAACTTTTCAATGCAAACAATTGCCAAATCAATTAGTGTGAGTTAAATAACTTTGCGATTACACTATTTATATATATATATCTTATTACACACTATACAGTGTATACAGTAATAATAAACATTTATCCCCCACTTTATCAATTAAAACATACTTTTATACAATTATTTTGTTTTTTAAAAATAAATTTTAATATTAATCATAGATAATGAGCCGAATTTCTGAATCATCATTAATTGGATGTAAAACTGAGTTACTTATTGAAGAAGCGACTAAAGTGGTTGAAAATAAGGTAAACAAACTTTTTAATTATTTTATTTTAATGAGTAAATTTAGATTATATCTTAATAATAGTTATATTGTTTTATAAAAATATTTTAATAAATTTTATAAATTATGTACTATAGTTGTATGATATATATATTTATTATATTATGTTATTATTTTAAAGATCCGGAACGTTGTCGGAGCCGCCGAACTCTCTGCTGAAGAATATACAGCACTAGAGTTGGAGTCGTGGCGTAATTTGCACTCATTTTGTATACAATATGACAACAATGAGAATAAACCTCTCGGACTTTTCTTTGATCCCAAAACTGGGTTTAAAGGGATTATCAAAAAATCAAACATTGAATTCCCGGTTAAAAGCGATCCATTGGATGAAATAATAGTGAACTCTATTGTCGACGATTACAAGTATGATTTGAGTGTTGTCTGTGAAGACCCTTCACTGGAATCAAGTTTAGGACATCTTTTAAAAAGTATTGCATTAATTAATGAGACACTCGTTGAAGACAATTTGGTTTGTTTTGAAGCATATTTATTGAGAGGCGAATCACCGATCATTGCCGCCGAAGTACTTATTGATAACTCATTGATTTTAGCAACAGATCCTAAATCAGCAAATGGAGAGCCTTTAAAACATGCATTTAATAATATAATAACAAAAGCACCACAACTTTTAGATGCCATTAATTTAATTATTAGAGCACTTGAATCATATATTAAAGACACTAATGAAGAACAAACTATTTTATCAAATGGTTTACAAATTATTTCTCCAGTTTTTGTTAATTGCTTTTCAAGTAATCGCGGACTTAATTTGTTGAGCGAAAGTGTTAAGCGAATGGTACGCTTGAGGTTTAATTTCTGTCGCGATTTACTATTATTTCAATCATTTATTATTAAATTACGAAACAAAGAAAGTCTTGAAGTGATTGAAAAGATCAATACGACTACAATACCGATTACCGCAGAATTATTAAACGCATATTATTTGATGACATGGATTTGTGAGACACCAATGAATTTAACTAATGTCGGATCAATTGTTAATGAAGACAGTGTCGCTCTTTTATCACTTTTAGAACTTAACGAATATATTAATATTAACAGAAGTGGTCTCTCTTCGACATCATTTTTATTTGATTGCGGACCTAAAACTATCGTCAATTATTTTATTCAAAATAATGGCGGAATTATAGCAAAAAAATTGTTAACAAATAAGTTAGAAAACGAAAACGAAACTGTGGCCAACTTAGAGTTGTGGTCAACAATATTACCGCAATATATTCAGTCAATTGCACTCTTGATCTCTCCAATTACCAGTCATTTTCATTTGCCTGAATTTTTATTGGGTTTTGGACAATACAATCTTCTTATAGAATATATCAATAAATTGGACGTCTGGTGTGAGTGGAACTCATACTCGCGTCTCTTTTTGAAAGCACTCTCTTATTTGATTACCGGAGAGTCATATAAGTCAGTCTCACTTTTTAATAGAGCTTTGTTTGGTGTCATAGCATCTGAAAAAGATGAAGAATTATTTATTAAGAGAATTATTGGACATAATTTTCAACTTGAAATCGACGAAGAAGTTGAAAATAATTTAGAAAATAGCAAATTGAATGTGATTTATAAATATTACAACAAATTATTACAATTATTTGCTATTTATGGTAATCCAAGTGATGTCATTCAAGTAGTTGACAGCGCTTTGTCTGCTTTGACTAATCCAAATACTGGTGATAATTATAATGAACACATATCTTCGTTATTGTCGACAAAATTTATGGCTCATTTAGAGCTCGGAAACACAACTGAAGCCTACGAGACAATGATATCAAATCCAGATTTGTCTCAGAAGAAGATATGTTTGAGACAATTCATTGTCCATCACTGTGATAGCGGACAGTTATCATCGCTTACAGCATTCACTTATATAGATATTGAAGAAGAATTTGTTAATATAATAGAGTCGAGGGCCAGATCTACTGATTTGCATTTGTCTAATCATATCAATTATTATCATCTTTTATATTCATATTTTGTAAGAGACAGTAACTATCGCAGAGCCGCGTCTATTATGTATGAATATTGTCGAAGACTTAGTCAGGAAACTAATGGCATTGAAAGCATTGAAAAACAAGTGAATTCATATGTTATTGTCTTAAATTGTCTTAAAATAATTAATCCCAAATACTCGTGGATTGTTAAGCATTCATATAAAATGAATAACTCGTCTCCGATGACAAAACGCAAACACGGATCACCTGAACAGTCATTGGATGAAATGGATAACAATCGCAAACTGGAAGTTGAAATACTTGACAGCGTTAATATCAAATGTGAATATGAATTGATTAAATCAAGACTTAGATTATTACAAAAAGATGAGAAGACATACGCTATCGCTAATACATCACTGACCGCCAGTCAAACTGTCCGATTACTAATTGAGGGATCACTCTATGACATAGCCTTTAATTTATGTCAATTACTTAAACTAAATTATGAACCTATATTTGAAGGCATTGTTTCAAAATATATATATTTAGTTCAATCGGGAAACACCATTGAAGTGGTAGATGTTTACGATTGTTTTGTGGACAATGACACACCATCTCTTGGGTTTATTGCCTGTGCTCTTATGACACCAGTTGATAAAATGTGGCATTTGATCACTACTTATTTGAATAGATATGAAACACCCGGACAAACAACATATAAGAAATGTGTGGCACAAAAATTATTAGCAAATGGATTAATGATACCGACGTGTCTTAAATTGAATTATCAGGTGATTTAAAGCTTATTTAATATATTAATATAACAATATATAATGTTTTTATTGTAATGATAATATATTAAAATTAGTACTTAATAATACTAATTATTTAATAGCTTTCCTAATGCTTTTAAGTTTTAAAAAGCATATAAAAAATATTATATAATAGCAATAATTGGCAAAAATTCAGAAAAAGCATAATTGACTAATTTAGATGTTTGGCTTATCTAAAATATTTTTTACATTAATAATATTAAGTACTTAACGATATATATATATATATATATCGGTATTAACATAATTTATATCTCATTAAAGTTTATATTGTATTTTCTAACTAATTATAAGTTCATTAATAGATTTAGAAAAGTTGTTAAATTAGTTAATTATATTACAGAAACAAAATTGTCCGGAATTTCTTCGGTTGTTAATAACTCACAATTTCATTGAAGAGGCGTTCAATTTGTCAATTGAATACATTCGCGCTTTTATGGGAAAGGGAACCGACTATTTTGATATTCGGGTAATTATATCTAAATTCAAAATAACATATTTTTATAAAAAAAAATATTTATTATTTTTTATAATCTCTTGTCTAGTCTGCTGTTTTACCCAACACTCGTCCTCTTTATATTCCTTATCATATATTTAACGTTTTGTTACGAATTTTAAATGAAGAGAAAAGTGTTGATAAATATAAAAAGGTATTGAATTGTATTTATATTTAATTAGTTGTGACATAATTTGAGACAAACTTTCATTTTATTGTTTCAGATGTACAACACTTTGACTATAGAAATGAAAAAACTTCGCGATTTGACTATTCACGCCTCAAACTCGTTGAGCATATGATTTAAATTAAAATATAATTTTTAATAATAATTATTTTTATTAATTAAATCAATTTGAAAATATCACTGCCTTTTAATTATATTATGATTAATAAAGAATTTTATCATTAATATTACTAATAATATTTTATAATTTTAAATTAAACTTAAATTTGAAAATATTTCTATTAATTATTTGAATAAATAAATAAAATAAAGATTTTTTGTGCTGAAATTAAACTGAAAATATAATGAATTGAATCAAACATATGATATCGTTTTAATTAGACAACGGAACTATAGTACAGTATAACCAAAGTATGTTGTGGTCTCTAATTATCATCTTTTTAGTCGTAATGATCTTAAAACGGAAATATAAAACCGAGACTTTGGAGACAAAAACAAGAGACTAAACCTCCAGTTATGTCGTGAATCAGATTTCACTGTAAAAAAGCTTAAGTCATCTGTTTTCTCAAAGCTGTCTTTAAAGTCATTTTTGTGACTGAATCTTACAGTACTTTACTATTACAGTACTATTATATTATGTCTAAAAATTATTTGTGATATCAATCAGTGAAATTCATACAAATGTTTTGTCAAATATTGTTCCTAAAGTAATATAAATGCTTTTAAATAAATGAAAAAATAATGCACTTAACTGTGTTAAGAAAACGATAGGAAAATATCTGCCGTAAAAATACATTTTTTCATATTAATGATATTAATAAAAATAAAAATTAATATTAGCTTTTTATATTTATGATAAGTTATAATGACTTAAAATTATACTAAATATTAAAAAACTATATCATTATTGAACTCAAATTGTTTTTTATTTGAGTATATATTTTCGATAAAACTTTTAGTATTTAGTATTTTGCTCATATACTGTATTATAATTATTATTTTTACAGTTAAAAGCAATTATAGTATGGTATTGGATAACAACAAATTAATTGCAATATAATTGCAATACATTATATCGTGTTAAATAAAGTTATATAAATTATATATTTTGAATGTTTTTAAGGCTAGAATTGACATAAAAATTACTATAGTTATTGAATGACATATTGTTAATTGAATGGACATTTTATGTATTGTAAATACAATACAGGAATTTTAGGCATTGATTTTGTGAGATCTTCTGTATGTAAATAATAATCTTAAATATTTGACAACAAAACACATTATTCACGATTGGTATTCAAACAGAATAGTTGAACACTTATTTTACTGAATGTTGTTTTTATGCCAACAATACAGCCAAACCCCTACCAGTCCTCGCCTCTTGTGGTGTTCCGGTGCCATCACTCGCGAGACTATTTTTCCTTTATTTATAGGTGTACTCTCTCTTTCTCTCTCTCTCTCTCTCTCTCTCTCTCTCTCTCTCTCTCTCTTTCTCTCTCTCTCTTTCTCTCTCTCTCTCTTCCCCTCATTCACTCACTTTTCACTGACTCAGTAACTCTGTATGGAGTCGTCTCCTATGGTCTCCTATGGTATGGTATTTGGTTTCAAGCAGTGAGAGAGTCGTTGGTTTGAGAATCAGAGTTAGAATCTGTTTGTAAGCACAGGAGTGAAGATCTCATTGAATGCATTGAATTCATTGAAAGCACTGTTTGTTGTGATGCACAACAAGTTCATGAGTTTTGGGCACAACTTTAAACACATTATTGAAAACTAAATGCTTTTGAAAACTGTGTTTTCTGTAATTATTAAAGCCATAGATTTTTGTGATATCAACTTAATTATTAAATTGAAATCAATTGAAAAGTCATGTGTTATCGACATATAATTTTTGGATTTCTTTATATAAACTTTTTACTGCAATGTTGTCAATCCATTGGAAAAAGAGGTAATATTTATAATATTTATATAATTTATTTTTAATGCAAGTTATAAATTTAGTTTAATAAAAATAACAATAATGCTAACAAATAGTTCAGTAACTTTGGTATTATAATACATATGTTTCAAAAATTTTGAAGTATTAACAGTACTCAACAAAACCCTATTTCTACAAAAACTCTAACAAACCCTTTACTTAATATATATTATTTAATGTTTTAATGTTTTTTAAAAATTTATTTAACTAAGATAAGATCGTTTATTTTTTATTTAATATCAATTTATATTATATTTATTTATAATTTTTAATATATATATTTTAATTTGATAAATATTTTTAAAATACTATTAATATATAACATATATAATAAGTTTTAGTACATTTACATCATTGCATGTTAAATAAGAGTTAAATGAGTTTTTAAGTTTCAAAGGAAAAATAAGTTTATTGAAAATTTTCTGTAAGTTTGCTATCAATCTATAGACCCAAACACCCAACTCGTTATCTCCTGAATCAAGGCTACGGTTAAACAGTTAGTCCCGTTCCGCATGTGTTGCACACAAACCAAATGTTAATGAAAATCATTTGAGATCAGTTGAGCTATCGGTGCTGTGATCCCTCTCCATCCCATTTCTCTCTATTTTAAGCAATCATTTTAGTGACACATTTAGTGCTGATTCATATCAGTGAGTGAGAGGTTGTCAGTCAAAACCAATAAAACTATTGGTGACTAATTTGATGACTATTACAACTGAATCCACTGTCACTAAAAATTATACCTTATTTTTACATTTATGATGATTTAGATGACTTTAATGGTCTACACTGATGATGATAAACCCATATTAATAATAATATTTTCAGTAATTATAATAAAAGATTAGTTAGTAAGAGTGGGTTATCATAATTCGATAGACTTATGTCTACAATAGTCTACTGGTGTTTATGTAAGCGATATAATACTGTATTACAGAATTCATACTTTATATAGTGTACTATAATTGGATTTATTGTTAAACTTACCATAAAATTTGAAATATTTATTATAACCAAAAAAAAAAATAATAATCTACACCCGGGATTATCGTATGATATAATGACTTCAACAATAGCTATGAAAAACCAAAGGCGCTCTAAACGGTCAAATCCCTGTGCGATCCAAAACATTGCTCTCAAAGGCATAATATAATGTTTCATAAATTTTTGGCCCTATTTTCACTCATTGAGTCACTCTTACTGAATATTCAGTAGCTTTAGGGCCCTATTATTCTTAATAAAACTCCCGTTTCATAGTTTGTACTAAAATGTAACACATTTTGAATCATAAGCTGTTTTGACAACAGTTGTAATTGTAATGAATAAAAACTTAAAATATAAATATTGAGACTATTATTAAAAAATTTAAATAATTTAAATTATAATTCACTTTAGATTGATTTAAATATATGAGTAATTTTTATTATTTTTATTTGCTATATTTTTTAGTAACACTGTGTTTAAACATCCAAATAATAAATGATTTGTATAATTATTACTGTGATTGAAAAAATACACAAAAAACAAATTATAAACGTTTGATCGGTGGAGTAAATTTAATAATATAAATCATATGATTTATTAATGTATAGCTTATTATGTAAGAAATCATTTTAAGAAACAATTGACACAATTAATGACTACAATTGACCGATCAGTTTCACATTTTTTAACATTTTTCTATTTAAAAAAATATTAATAATTTTTAAAAATTTGGTTCATTAATTTTTTATCTAATTTAGAATTATATATAAATTTAGCATATATTTAATACAAATAATTGTATAATTTTGAATACAAATATTAAATATTAGTTTGACAAAAAAAATTAATTATTATATAGATTAGTGACAAAAACATCATTTTGGATAAAGTAATAAAATGATAATATTATTGATAATAATGATGGGTTAGAAATCATAATAAGACCAACACATATACTGATAGCTAGCAATTGAAAGGCAACCAACCATTACATAGGAGAGGGTCTCAGATACCACACAGCGATGGCTAAACAAATATAATAAAGTGAACTCCGATTATCATAACTTTGTGAACCTTTCTCTGACTTTGACAGTAATGCCAGTAACCCGTAGTCTGTATCCCAATCCCTCTCTCCTAAGTTGTTGCCTATAATTATAAATATAAGCCCTATTGGTATGGAAAGTAATGGTCCAGTTCTGGCCCTAGACTTATACACTCATTGTTTGATTTGTTGTAGTAATTGGTGAATGAGTCACACTTAGTGTTGTACTGTATATTTAATATATAATATACTGTATGTCTATATATTTTAGGCATTACTTCACTCAATTTGCACATTGAATATACATTCAAATATATAACTTTATTTTAGATGACAATTTCAATAGAGATGATGATTCGACACCAATAATCCATGTGCCATACTCTACAAATATAAACCAATTTTTAAAGTAAGACTAATTTATTATTTAAAATATATTTTCTTATATAAAAGTTTATATAACTATATATTTTATTATAATCAGAGATATGGCCACTACTGATGAGAGCGTATCTGTCAATAGTAATCCATCAGCACTGGGATCAGCACATGACATAACACCTGCTTCTACTTCACCATCAATTTCGCCTAAAGATAAAGGTTTGGCTCAACTCTATAATATTCAAAATAAGTCTTGTATTTTAATCTAACAAAACAAGGAATATATTTATCAATAATATTGAACATTATGTAGAAATTGCATGAATTGCATGACTACCACATTAACACACAAGCGATATATGCATAACTGTATTAGTGGTATATTAATCACATTATATGAGAAAATATTTTATTTCATTTATAAACGACTCCTTTATGATTAACTAAACAAAGAAAATATATGTTTGAACCATTACTTTATGCAAATAAAATACAATACTAACTAATATAAAATGTGAATTTATAAATATAGATTTCTACATTAAAAATATTTTATACAGTATATCATATTTTTATATATTATTTGCATATTATTATTTTATATTTTTATGTTTTTATGTAGTTTACACTTTATATTGCAGTAATTCAATATTTACTCATTTATTTGAATATAGAATTAAAAATATTTTTTTTGTAAAATAATAAAGTATTTTTTAGATATTTTAATAATGACTGTATTTTAGATAAAACAATATATTAATTTAATTTAGTTAAATTGTAATTTCTGTATTTTAGATGTAATCTAATAATTATAGTTAAAATTTGCATCAAATTCTTTATCTATTGTTTTAATTCAATTTTAGTTGTACTCAATGTGAACTAACTAAATAAAAATATTTATATAAAAAACATAGTGAGAGAAGAGTTTATTTTAAATCTCATGAATTATGTATAGACTTAGATATAAACTTCATTTGTTTTCCTCTTTTTCCTAATTCAAGACAGAGTTTGTTATTCTCTGACAAATAAAATATACGACTAGTAATCGCTTTTTTAACCCAATATTTCTCTTTTGGTAACAAAAATAAGCTCTTTTTGGGGATAAAAAGTTTTTTCTGTCTAAAAATAAAGTATTAATTAACGAGAAAAAAGTTTTATTTAACAATGAAAAAGATATTTAATGTTTGACCCTATATATCATTTATATATACAATTTGCATAATTGCTTGAAATTCATTTGCAATATAAATAAATTGTTAATTAATGTGTAAAAACTGAGTGAGTGAGTGAAAGATAATGAGATTAATATTGTTTGTTTTATTTGTATTTTAGGTGTCTATTTGAAGATAGAGCAGCCTTTATATAATATGACAAAAGAGACAAACGATAACATTAGGATGAAATGCGAATTTCGTGGAAATCCGGTGCCAACTATTAGATGGCTTAAGAATGAGGCTCCGGTAGATGAGGAGAGACCTAGGATTCAGATAAAACAAAAAACAGTAAATGGAAAAATAATATCACGTTTGATGATCAATCAGGTGGACACTCATGACCAGGGATACTATAAATGTGAGGCCAGTAATATGGCCGCTACACTCGAGACCGTTGGTGTGCTTATTGTGCGACCGGGTATGTTGTTTAAATGATTACACATTTTACATATATTTTTATAAAATAATTTATCTGAAATATTTATATTAATAATAAAATACTGTGCATTATGTATTAATAGGTCATATACATCCAGCTGGTGCTCCCATACCATTACCCGATTACGAACCGTTTTATCCGAGTGTCGACTTTCCCGGAATCGGCGGAAGGTTAGCAACAATTCATTATTTATTCATTACACTAAACGACTGTTTTTACAATATTATAAACTAAATTTTAATTTAAGATTTAAAACGTGATTTTTTATTTATATTTACTTCAATTAAGTATTAGATTAATTTAAGATTTATTACAAAATTTAAAAGATTGCGGAAATTGATTTAAACATAAAAATATTGACCTTCAATACGATTTTTTGACATAAATTGATTTTTTAATTCAAATCTCATTCTATTTTCTTAGTTATAGTTTTTTTTATAAATGCAATGAATAATTATTTTGAACTAACTTTTAAGTTTAGTATTTTAAAACTAAATTTCATGCAATTAATTATTTATTTTTATTGTTGTTTATTTCTCGACTTATCGGCAATCCTTAGAAATTAGCATTTATTTTAAAATATGAAGAGTTTGTATCATTAAACTTATAAGTTATATAAGTGTTTATTTTGTTGTTTATATAAAACCAGTATTTAATACATGTATATACTGTAGTATAATATATAATATAATATAATGATGTTTTAAAGAAACCTACAAAATATTGTGTTGCTATTGAAACAAACAGAAATGTCAGCAAAAAAATTTGCATTTTTGTCTAAAATCTGATTAAAGTATAAAATGAAATTTTATTATATTTTTTGAAATGAAATCCCTTTACTAATACAATGTGTTGAACGATATGTCAGTTGAGATTAAAATTTATTCATTCATTTCTTTTCAATTACTTTTTTAATGTTCAGTAAAATACAACAGAAAACTTAATATAAAAGTTAATAACATATGGAGTAATAAATCTAAATAAAGGTATTCATTGAAATAGTTTGTTGTAAACTATGTCTTCATATCAAACCAAATGGTTGTCATTATAGTTATAACTTAGTTGTGAAAAGCGATAAACGTTTTTCTAGTTTTGATATAATGAGTGCTTTACTACATATGTTGGGATCGACTCTATAATTACACAATTAGTTAAATATAGTGCTATGAGTTTGAGACTCATTGAAAAAGTTGTTATATGTTATGCCATACAATTAAGGGCTTATAACAACATTCATGCAATACATTCATTCACTTATTTGTTATCAAATTGTTATGCACTGGTTATGAAAGGAACGTGTGGTGGGTTTGTTGGATGGCTCAGCCATAACAGGCATAACCAGACAAACAATTTAGTGGTTCAACAACTATATAGCCTTTCTTTCTCAGAGCCACTGAAAAGTAAATATATAACAATTGAAAGCTATGTTTATGACAATTACTAAAAACTCACCTAAACGTAGGTGTGTTTTGTTTGCTAATGAGATAACAATACAAATGGTTAGGGTTTTTGTACTTTAAATAAGTAAATAAATTTTAAAAATTGATTTTGTTTTTCAAAGTAAATTGAATGAATAAAATACAGTTGGTTTGTCTTTGTCTACATTTTTTCAAATAATATTATCAGTTTTTATCAAAGCTTTTTATTACAATTTATATATCAAAAAGTAATAATAGTGTATTACCTCTTAACGTCTATCAATTTGTGACATTTAATTTGGCAAACGCTTTTAAAAACATTGAAATAAAACTTAATAAAAGCAAATGTTTGCTTAAAAGTCAAATAAATAAGACATTGAATACATAAGAGTAGAAATTTAAGTCAAACTGTTATTATTTTACTTTCATATTATCATTGCTGAAAAAACATTATATTTTTATATTATAGTTAAATTCTGTATAATATAATGCACATTTTTATATTATTATTATTATTAATATTAGATAAAATGTAGATTTGCTTTAAATGCAATGCAATGATATAAATCTGTGTATAAGAAGTGTTTTAACAAATGATAAAAGAAACACTGATAGAGAGTATCATATTTTTTCATAAGAAAACGCATTTCAATATTAGAAAGTGTGTGATATATGATCGTCGAGTTTGCCATTTAGGCAATTGATATAATATGATATAAATAGACTAACTTTTGCTGTTTCAATCATTTGATGACTTAAGAAGTCATCAAAATATAAATCTGAGTACAAATAATAATAATAAAGTTTTTTTTTATATTATGAAACTGTGATATTCGTTATTATAATTTAGTTCAACATATGTGAGGTCTTCCTATGAAATCAAATAAATTCTTTCATAGTATTACTCATTACATATAAAAATGCAAATAAAAATATTTATGTATAAAAATATTTAATTAATAATTCAGTAAAAAACACTAACAGTACTATATATCAAATGATTATTTGTTGGCGTCTCTTATAACTAGTTTTGGGTTTTAATGAGAAATATGTGGATATACTGTATTTGCTTAAAGTTAGAGAGGATGTAATGACAGGACTGGGCGGTAATCAAAATGTTTTTGTGGCCAAAAGCTCAGAAAAAACTATAAAAAAATGTGTTGGTGTTGTTGTAATGCAATTCCAGCCCATCTCTACAAATACTGTACAGTAATGTACAACATATGGGCCCATAATATACTGAATAATAACTAAAAAAATATGAAAAACTTATTTCCATTAGTTACTAGCGTTCAATGGTTTTACAAACTATTTTTTATATCTTACATTACTCTAACTTTATATTTGCGGCTTATTTTGTGAATCATTTATGAGTTTAAGTTTTTATATGTATGTTACATGTTTTCAAGGAATTATACAATTTTTTAAAAATGCTTAATATTTGGTGTTTTTATCATTTTTGTTGACTAATATTTCACTTTGTTATTTGTTATATTTGTTTTTATATAAGTTGTAATAAATCTGATGGTCAATCATTTGTTTCTTGTATTTTCGATATAATAATATTATTATACAATAGAAAATTTATTTTATAAAAAATATAGTGACTTTCAGAATTGGTTTTGGTTTTAAAATAATTGATTTATGTTTAATGTAGAAATGACTTTACAGCACATTAAACAAATTTAGTTTCACTGTTTGTTTGGTCTATTGTATCCATAATTGATTGCTTAATCTATATTATTAGATCAACTTCTATGTTGTTGAAGACAATAAACCATTGTTTTGCGGTAAAAGCAATTTAACATTAGATTAGATCCTTAATTAATGCAAAGATATATATACCGTATATACTGATATTTTTATTCACAATTTAAGATAATTAAGAAATAATAGTAAAACATGATTTATTTTTATAATAAAAATGTAAATATTATGCATTTTTCTTTAGAAACATTAAAAATTTAAGGTCAAGAAGTGATTATATTATATTTTTATTATTTTACATTTAACACAATTTAATATAATACAGTATTTATAGTAAAATATACATTTTAATAATGTATATTAATAAATATTAATTATTTAATTATTAAAATACAGATATTAAAAATAGACTATTAATTTAGCGTATCATATTTTATAATAAAAATAAATTTTTAATAATTAAAAACCTAAATTTTATAAAAATAAATGTAAATTAATTATTATTATTATTTGTTTGTAACTAAAATTCTGTAAAAATTTTGGGTAAATATATCCGTTTATATATAAAAATATTATTAAAATATTGAATAAACAATTTGGACAAATAATCACTCTTTTATGTAATAACTGTCAAAAAACATTTTTTGGCCAAAACAAGTGTTATAATGGCTAACATATAGAGTGGTTATTCAGTGATTTTTGGTACACAAAATAGATTTATGTCTTATTGTATTAATAAAGAGAAATGGTTTATGAAATTTTTGCACTAATTTACTTGATGTGTGTTTGTCTGTCTCTTTTAAATAGCACTTACATTATGTGCCCAACTTTTTGTTGTCAAAATCCCAGTGCAAATGTGCGGCACTTTTATATTGAAGTAGAATATGTGTTGTGCATATGCGAGTGCCGGCACTTATAATATTATTTGTTAGGAGTCCCTCACATAGTGACTGTCATATAAAATCAATGATCGAAAACTTAGTTATGAAGGGATGAGTTCATCACTGACTGTCTATTATTCAAACAATGCTTTCCCTATAATTTGGTCCCCTTTTTCATCACTGGTAGAGTCCTTAACAACAATTGAGTGCATCTCTAGTGAAGTACAAGATATGTGTCATTCCTGGCCTTCAAATCAACGACTATTGTATTTATTGACAGACAGTCATACTGTGTCCGTGGCTTAGAGATGCAAATATAGAGATACTATGAAAGCCATTGATAACACTTCATTCAATAGACCCTTCAATTTCAGTATTTCTCACTATTTTGCCATTAGTTTGAATTATCAACATTTTGTTGAACAATATAATTGAGGCAATCATTAAATATTAGACAATCATTGCTACAACTTTCATATAAACTAATTCATTATATTAAATATATTGTAATTTAAATTGTTAATAGAAATATATAACTTATATACAGTTGTAATAGCATCATAATAGTGCTAAAATTTTTAATTGACATTTTTAAAAAACTTTTTGTAGGATTTCAAACATTGTTTATAACAATTTGTTCAATAATTAAATAACAAAGTTGATTGTGAAATTCAAACTTTAAAATTAATTGTCTCACAATTTTATGTATACAAATATACATATTATTTAATGTAACTATTACCAAAAATTGCTTAACAAAATAATTTAATTAAATTGTTTTAAATATTGTTTTATAAATTTCGTTGAGTTCATTGAACGCATGAATAAATCTCAATCTATAAACAAAAATTTTGTAACCATTTTCTAAACAAAATTAAAAATAACTTTAAAATCAATCATATATTTTTAATAGAAAAATAAACACAAATTATTTATTAAATAACACATTATATATAATCTCTTATGATAGATGAAGTGCTAATTTAGAAATAAATTCATTAATACAGTATATTATAATATTTGAAAATACTTATACATATTCAATATATTAAAAGCCATTCAAACAATACTTGAATAATATATTGATTTTTTTGTTTTACAGTATATTTTAGTTGTTAACATCATAATTATAGCATTGTGTGATCTTTTTTATTGATACTTATA